GAGAAAATTAATTAAGTACCATAAATTTGAAGAAAATGTTGGCTGACCTCATTATTTGGGTTCTTAAACCACAAGCACTTTTTTTTTTTTTTTTTTTAGATTAAGGAGACAACCACAGCATGGAAGTACAGAACTCTCTGCCATCCAGGGGTCATCTACCCGAGGGGTACACGAGGCTTTCCATGGGCTATGTGCAGGGCTCTGAGAGTGTGTGCTGCCTGGAGGGTCAATTTGAACTGACTTGTCTCAGAGTCAGCTCCTACCAGACCCTGCAGCGATATGAACTGATGCCACTCACCCCTCTACCTGCAGTTGTAGGTCTTACCCAAGGAAGTATATCTAAAGCAGTGCATTTTCAAGATCTAAGATGTCCTACAATGGATCTGTCCGAGAAAGTGCCTGTGTCTGGATTATAGCTCTGACTCTCCTTTCTGACTGCCCCCACTTAACTATTTGTCCAGGAGAGAATGTTCTTTACTTCCATTGTCACCTCCGCCACTCTTACCAATCTGTCATCAAGTGGAGCATCATTCTTGAAGGAGAGTCCCTGCAACATAAAGAAGACAAGTCCAGAAGGAAATGGCACAGTTTTTTTTTTTCATCAGTAATGAATTCATGGCAAAACTGCTACCTTCTTCATCCTGGAATTAGAATCCAGAGACATAGAGATGCTTTCTGACAGAGGGCATGTGATTTGGCACATTAAAATAAACAGCATTTCAATTTTTCCCACCTTTCTCAGCATATTTGGTTAACCAAAGTGCTTCCAAGTAACAAAATAACACATCTTTAATAGCCATTTCATAAAGCCTAGTAAAATACTAGCAATATACTGTCCAGATATTGAGAAATTGAATGAATTTAATATTGGGTTACAAAGCCCTTTGCAAGTCAGGTATTTTCCAATTCATTGCTTTAAAAGAAATTGAAGGAGGAATTAATTGAATTGTCAGCTGTGAGATCATTAATTTAATTTTTGAAGCTATTTTACTATGTGGTTTTGGGCATATATTTTGGAAGAGGTACAAAGAACTGAATGACACTGCTATACAAGATTTTCATTTCCATCTTCTTGCTTATGTGAACTTGGTTTCTTTCAAAGCAAAATAGGAATAGAATTGATCCTGAGCTCTCACTCTAGTATAATGATATTTATTGATGATATAATAACCAGAAAAGCCTCCTCCATCCCATTAAAAGCTATATTTCCAGTAAAAGTTTACTTCTTATGTTTAATTATTACTTAACAACATGTACAGAATATTTATATCATTTTATCAATATTAGCCTTATAACAATAACTCATTCTAAAATAAACTAGTATTATTCGGAACTTTACAGTGACAGAATATGAAAAAAAAATAAATTTCAGTCTCTACATTTTATATATATTGTTGCAAATAAATACGATAGCTGATCAATAAATGATTTTCAAGCATAAAATACTTTATCAGGATAAAATGCTGCAAATAAAATCCTGCAGAGAATATGTATAATAGATACACAAGTTCAAGTTTAAAAAACGAGCAATGCACATTTTATGACTGTTAGAAAAGAGCTTGTTCATGAATTTTGAAAGCAAACAATCATGAGTATCAAATCACTATGGTATTTAAATTTGTATAGAGATATATAGAAACGAACATTATGACATTTTAATTTTAAAATGTGAATATTCTCCATAGACCAAAAATGCATCCTTTGCAACTATTACTTAAACTTTAAACATATTATGTCAGCTTAAAAATGGGCAAAGGATTACATAATTGACCAAAATAAAATCAAGTCTGTCATCTGCACTCTCTCCTGTGTATGTGGTCCCAGGGTCTGGGATACCATACCCTTCACTTTGCCTGGATTTACTGTCTGCTTCCAGGTTGGCCAATTCTTGAAGCTGTACAGTTGGAATTTAACCTTCAGGAATCATTCCAACAGGGGTTTGACCTTCATGAAAATACAGCTGTTATTAAGGGTTGGCACATTAATTCTTATTTGCAACTGAGAGTAAATGAAAGAGTTTGTTAGATTTTTTTCCCACCAAGACATGCATTTGAAAGTGAAGAGCAGAGAGCGCCAATTAGGGATTGAGTCTTCACAAGGGAAATGACAGTTGCTGTAGAACAAAAATGCACAGAAGGGGAAGCTAGAGTCCCAAGGATGCCGAGGAGAAAATGTGACCTCAGTTTTTCTTTCTTTTTTTTAAAATTAATTTATTTTTTATTGACGTATAGTTGACTTACAATGTCGTTTTAGTTTTAGGAGTACAGTAAAGTGACAAGGTGTTTTATAAAACACACACACACATATATACATATGTATATATTCAGTTCAGTTCAGTCGCTCAGTTATGTCCAACTCTTTGCGACCCCATGAGCTGCAGCATGCCAGGCCTCCCTATCCAACACCAACTCCTGGAGCCTACCCAAACTCATGTCCATTGAGTCAATGATGCCATCCAACCATCTCATCCTCTGTCGCCCCTTCTCCTCCTTCCCTCAATCTTCCCGAGCATCAGGATCTTTTCAAATGAGTCAGCTCTTCTCATCAGGTGGCCAAAGTATTGGAGTTTCAGCTTCAGCATCAGTCCTTCCAATGAATATTCAGGACTGATTTCCTTTAGAACTGACTGGTTGGATCTCCTTGCAGTTCCAAGGGGCTCTCAAGAATCTTCTCCAACACTACAGTTCAATTCAAAAGCACCAATTCTTCGGCACTCAGCTTTCTTCACAGTCCAACTCTCAAATCCATACATGACTACTGGAAAAACCATAGCCTTGACTAGATGAACCTTTGTTGGCAAAGTAATATCTCTGTTTTTTAATATGCTGTCTAGATTGGTCATAACTTTCCTTTCAAGGAGTAAGCATCTTTTAATTTCATGGCTGCAGTCACCATCTGCAGTGATTTTGGAGCCCAAAACAATAAAGTCAGCCACTGTTTCCACTGTTTCCCCATCTATTTGCCATGAAGTGATGGGACCAGACGCCATGATCTTAGTTTTCTGAATGTTGAGCTTTAAGCCAACTTTTTCACTCTCCTCTTTCACTTTCATCAAGAGGCTCTTTAGTTCCTCCTCACTTTCTACCATAAGGATGGTGTCATCTGCATATCTGAGGTTATTGATATTTCTCCCGGTAATCTTGATTCCAGCTTGTGCTTCCTCCAGCCCAGCGTTTCTCATGATGTACTCTGCATATAAGTTAATTAAGCAGGGTGACAATATGTAGCCTTGACATACTTCTTTTCCTATTTGGAACCAGTCTGTTGTTCCATGTATATATATCCTCAATTATATTCTTATATATTCTCACTTATATATTCTCTCGCTTATATTCTTATGTATTCTTCTCATATATAGATTTTTATATATAAAATCTTTTTATAGATTCTCTTTTTAGATTCTCTTCCCTTATAGGTTATTACAAAATACTGAGTGGAGTTCACTGTACTATATAGTAGGCCCTTGTTGTTTACCTGTTTTATATATAGTAGTGTGTATACGTTAATCCCAAACTCCTGATTTATCCCCCCTCTTGGCCTTTAATAATCTTAAATTTGTTTTATGTGTCTGAGAGTCTGTTTCTGTTTTGTAAATAAGATCATTTGTATCATTTTTTTAAGATTCCACATGTAAGTGATATCACATGGTATTTATCATTCTCTGACTTATTTCATTTAGTATGATAATCTCTAGGCCCATCCATGTTGCTGCAAATGGCAGTACTTCATGTTGTTGCTTAATAGTGGCGATGATGGTGGTGGTGGTTTAGTCACTAAGTCATTAAGTTGTGTCCACTCTTATGACCCCATGGACTGTAGCCCACCAGGCTCCTCAGTTCATGAGATTATCCCAGCAAGAATACTGGCGTTCCTCCTCCAGGGGAACTTTCTGACCCAGGGATCGAACCCACATCTCCTGTGTCTCCTGCATTGACAGGTGGATTCTTTACCACTGAGCCACCAGAGAAGCCCAGCTGAATAGCATTCTATTGTATATATACCACATCTTTGCAGACACTTACATTGCTTTCATGTCTCAGCTATTGTAAATAGTGCTGCTATGAACGTAGGGGTTCATGTATCTTTTCAAATTATGATTTTCTCCAGATATGTGCCCAGGAGGGGGATTGCAGGATCACATGGTAACTCAGTTCTTCATATGATTTATACTAGTTTACATTCCCCCCAATAGTCACAGCCTCCAGCTGTTGGGAAGAGTAGGTGAACATGTGTGAGGCAGAGATCAGCTTCTTACCTTGGTGACCTTGGTGACGACAGCTGAAGTCAAGTGTATTGTTCTCGGGGGTAGGCAGGGGCGTGTGAGAAGGAGGAGGAACTCTGCTTGGCCACTTTCTCCTCCCCTCTCCTGAAATCTGAAGAGATAGCCTTACTTCTACCTCCAGACTGTTGGCTTTCTACAGCGAATTTCAAGATCCGTGTTATAAATTGTACTTGCAGGGCTTGGGGCAGCTTCAGGTACAGGCAATGCCAGTGAAGGGGGGTGGATATGGAGGTGAATATGTCCCATTTTTGACTTAACAACAAGTGAAGCATTTGCCATATAGATTAGCTGTGATCTGTTTGAAATACCGATGCACTTTCTCTCCCCTCTGGCCCTGGGCCACTTTTCCCACAAGGTGGTAAATGCGCTCGAGAAATGTAAACTAATTTTCATATAAGCCTAAGGGGAAAAATAAGATAGAAAGCAAATATACAGCAAAGATATTCACATAATATGTTTCAAAATCAAATAGAAATGATTTTGTAGCATCAGGTCTTCAGGATGATTCAGGCCACTGTTGCCCTCTATTTAAGAAGTTTTATCAATAATTGATCTCTTTTAACACTGGGTTATGTTATTTCATTTACTCCTGAAACAACAACAGCTGCATTTATAATAGAATCTCTTAACACTCTCTGCCTCTTCTCCCTCCCCTCCCCCTCCCCACTCTTTCCCTTTCCTCTTTCTTGCTCCCTCCCCTCCCCACCCTCACTCACAGGTGTACCATAGATGATCGGGTCACCCGGGTGGCCTGGCTGAACCGCAGCACCATCCTCTATGCCGGGAATGACAAGTGGTCCATAGACCCTCGGGTGATCATCCTGGTGAACACGCCGACCCAGTACAGCATCATGATCCAGAACGTGGACGTGTACGACGAGGGCCCCTATACCTGCTCCGTGCAGACGGACAACCACCCCAAGACCTCCCGCGTCCACCTCATCGTGCAAGGTGAGTTGATTGGACGGGGTGCTGGCGTTCCTGTCAGCGATGCAGAGGGCACATGATCTCAGTCTGTGCTTCCACCTCCTGTAGGAAGACACAGGAGCCATTCCTCTGCAGAATCCAGAGACTGAGTGTGTCCTTCCACTTGTGGGTGTCTTGACTAAGTGCTGAGGATCTTCACAGAGCTTCTCAGGTTTATCTCTGGTCCTTCTGTTCTCATTAATAGGTTGTTTGGTATTGTTGAGTTGGTTGAGCTTTCTGAGGTTTGGACAAGATATAGAAATATAATGTATCGTATGTTAGTTACTTAGCACTTTGGAGTTAGGGCAAGATACTTTAGGAAATTGATTATACTACTCTCTGTGCCTGTTATTTTTTAGAGGCTTAGTTCATGATAAAAGGTTAATAATATTGATGTAAAATCATACGATGTATGGCTGTTCTTGCATAGCTGATGGTTACATGTGATCTGGAAAGGGATTCTCAGTGTTGTTTGGCATTGCGTTGTGTCTGTGTACACCCTTTTAGCCCCACAGTGGAGCTGAGGTCAAGAGGGATATTAGTCAAAATTCTCTAGGTCTACTTTGGAAATAAATTTAAATAATTAAAAGGGGGCTCCCTAACTTCCTCTCCTGTTCTCCTTAAAAAAATCAGAATTAATATAACCCATGCATAGTACTTCAGAGTTTTCCATTTGGATTTTACTTTGTGGGAGAAAAATGGGGTTAAAAATATCAGAATCTCAGATATCAACTATTAAATATTAAGAATTAAAAATTCACTCGGAGAACAACCATAAGCTTTGGGGAAGCATCATAAGGCAGCCCTACAGATGACCTTATGATGAGCTATCCCCTGCCAACACCCCCGTGACTGTGCAAAGCAATTTCTATCAGGTATCTATTCATGGTGCCAAAGAGGTACTGAGCAGACCAGCCCCCAGCCCCCAGTGACACAGCCTTCCTCCACCAAAGGGTGGAGCCTTGTCAGTGTCTCCTGCTCCAACGTCTTGGAGCCATGCATTGAGCTCAGAAGGAAGAACGTATGTAACGTAGCATCAGTAAGTGCTTTTAATCAGATCCCATCTGCAGTCAGCCTAATGGATTTTTTTCAGGTTGTGATTTGTGTGTGGCATTCTTGCTTAGCTAGTATGTATTCCCTCATCCCTGCCTTTCTAAAATATATAATTTTGCTCATTTTGGTTGGTTTCATGGAGAGTTTGACTACTGGGTAGTCTTTTCATGCTTCAGTCATGTATAAAATTTCAAGGGGACCATTCTTTTCTTTTGGCTGGGGATCTTTGCTAGCAGCGGAGAAGGCAATGGCACCCCACTCCAGTACTCTTGCCTGGAAAATCGCATGGATGGAGGAGCCTGGTAGGCTGCAGTCCATAGGGTCGCTAAGAGTCAGACATGACTGAGCGACTTCACTTTCACTTTTCACTTTCATGCATTGGAGAAGGCAATGGCAACCCACTCCAGTGTTCTTGCCTGGAGAATCCCAGGGACGGGGCAGCCTGGTGGGCTGCCGTCTATGGGGTTGCACAGAGTCGGACACGACTGAAGCGATAGCAGCAGCAGCAGCTTTGCTAGTGGGCCATCTGGGCTCTGACTCCACAGGCCTTGGTAGTGGCCTGAGCTTGGCTGGGGCTCTGTCTGCTGCAGCCCCTGCTCCCGGCAGGCCCTGGGGCTGACGTAGCACTTGAAGCTTTTTCTCCATTCAGCCTCCAAGCCCTTCTCTGATCCACATGCCCCCACACTCCCACATCTGATGCCACACAAGGACACCTATGCTCCCTGCTGTGTCTCTTCTCCATCCATATCCCACCAGTGGGATGGCTTGGGATGATCATGTCTTGGGGGATACAAGACAGCCTGCCATCTGGAAATAAAGACAAGTGCCATGTCTGATGCTTCTCCTCTGGTGAGGCCCTCCCCAGGATCAGTCATCTGAAATGAGTGGGGATATCTGCAGAAAACAAGGAAGCGTGAACTCTCACCACCCGCCTGCCACCTGGGCTTGGTTCCAGAGCAGCTGAAATTCTCAGCCTAGGAAGTAACGCCTCCGTGGCACCTCCATGGCCTTGACAGCAAAGTTATCTTCAAATTCAGGAAACTCAGCGCTGAAAGAAAAAAGAACTGTCAGGCACTGTATGGCAACAGTCTCAAACAGAACAAGACTCTCACTTTTCAGGAAAGAAGACAGATTGTGCAAGCATGTCAAAGTCAACACGGGCCGTAAAGGGCGCATGGCTCAGAGCTGCAGGGATAATACTGCATAAGAAGCTTGGAAGTCGTTCCTGGGGCTGGATGTGGAAGCCAGTGGGGTCTCCCCATGGGCCCCAGAGCTCTGGGTCAGAAAGGGTCTGGGAAGAAGCAGGGAGCAGAGCAATAGAGTCCTTCATCCCAGAAGGCGCTACAATTCTCAAGTCTCTACAATTCAAGCCAAGCGACTTCTGTAGCCCCTGTGACATTCAACTCAGAGATCAGAACGGCAGAGGACGAAGGGAAATGCCTCCTCTCAGAAATCTTAGCAGACGGGGCTTCACATTCATGGAGAGGCTAAATGGAGGTACCTAGGGAGCTGCCTCCTCCTCCGTCTTGGTGGACAATGGCTGACTTGTCTTTCTTTGGGGACCATTGAGTTTCCAGCAGGTGGAAGTAGAGACCCCATGGCTCTATTAGAAGGAAGCCCAGGAGTCTCTCCCTTCCCAGCAGTGGTCGGCTTTCGTCCAAACTATAGATTAATTTTTCAGACTTAGTGTTAGTTCAGGTTAGATAAAGATAATGAAAGTTTCCTAATCCTCTTAAAGAAGATTTATCTGACTGAGTAGAAAGCTTTTGGAATACAATAAGGCATGTATAAAACTGAGGCCTAATCTTGCCTTTAATTTCCAACTGCTGATGGGTATTGATTTTGCAATGAGAAAAACTGAGAAATTTCCGAGCTGCAACTTGTCCATGTATATATGGTGTTTATTTATCTCCTGTCCATTTGAGAGTGTTAGAATCTCATCACGTCTAGCAGACAAGTGCCATGAGCCAAAGGGCAATCCCGTGGGCTCTGGGCTTTGTTGTTCCCTCCTCCTGCAAAGTGGAGTAACTGAGAGATGCTGTATCACTAAACTCGAAGTCTGTCTGTCCCAGTTTTATAAGATGGCCTCTCCACATATCTGATGGGATTGATTTCCAAGTCCTTCTCTTTAAGGAAAGAAGCTGTATTCATTAAAAGAGTATCACTGGTCCCTGAGATACATCTTGACCACCTTGAAGGGATAACTTCAAGGCGCCACGTGATGGTGTGTGACAGTGTAGCTGAGACTGTGTACCTGGTGTACGATGCTCAGTCTGAGACTGTGTACCCAGGCGTTAAGGGAATTCAGAACACACGGCTCAGACTAGCCAGGGTGGGAAAACCAATCCGGCAGCCCTGTGGGATGGGGTGAGGGATGCTCCTCCCGTGATGAGGAGTTGAGGGGCACAGGGATGAGCAGGAGGTCAGGCTGATCACTCAAGCTGTGAGGACAGCAGGCTGTGGGTCTCCCTGGAGGAATGGAGACGGTTCCTTCAGGAGACATCATCCAAGGGAAATTGAGAGGGTAAAACCCAAGGCCTTGAAAGAGGAAGAATTAAAAAGATATCACCTCCCTTTTTGAGTCTGGGGAAATGTTAGATGATCTTGCTAGTAAGTGTGGAGTTAGGATCCTCAGCCACTGGGAAAGGAAGGTGTTAGGGTTGTGAGCTTTAGGAATAAAGAGAACACAGATCTTACACAGGAGTTAAAGAACTAAGAAATGGGTATAATGCAAGACAAGAAGGGTGTGTTTGAGATTCATCATGAATTTACTAGCATGAGAGTAGGTATGTTTTGTGAGATTACCTCTTCCTACTAGAGAACAGTGGGACTTCCCAGATGGCTCAATGATATAGAATCTGCCTGCCAGTGCAGGAGACTTGGGAGATGCAGGTTCAATCCCTTGGTTAGGAAGGTCCCCTGGAGGAGGAAATGGCAACCCACTCCAATATTCTTGCTGGGAAAATCCCAAGGACAGAAGAGCCTGGTGACTGAAGTACATAGTATTGCAAAGAGTCAGACACGCCTGAGAGACTGAGTGTGCACAGTAGGTGTGCACACTGAGGCATTCTAGGCTTTCAGCAAATGCTTGTAAAATGGACAAAGGACAGACTGATACAGCAGATGAAATGGCAAAAGAAGGCAGTGATCCTGAAGTCCCTTCAAGCAGATGGGGCAGGCAGGGAATAGTCAGGCTGTCCAGATGACTCAGAGTGGACAGTGATTGGAAAGAGGTCCTTGGAGGGATGAGGTCATCAATGTGACAAGCCAAGAGATGTGTTCTAACAAGGATCAGATGAGTTCTGTGAGCTTACTTAGTACTTTATAGTGCTGGTCACAATCTTTGCCTCATTTGACCCTCACAACAAGCCCTGGGAGACATCAGGGCAGCAACTGTTGTCTCCGTTTTGCAAATTAGATCACTGCAGCTTATGAAGTTTAAGAGACCAGCCAGGGTCCCCTGTGAGTCAGCAGTGGAGCAGGTCTGAACCTCGATCATGTGACTCCACATTCAGTGTCCCTCCAGCACCTGCCACTCCCTCCACTGGCAACCGCATCTAAAGTGATTTCTCTAACCTAGATCCATGGGGATTTACTGGTTCTCCTTTCTTTTTCCCTCTTTTTCCTGCTACTGATGTTTCACTGTATGAACAGAAATTGGGGACAGAGCTCAAAAAAGAAAATGAGCGGGAAGGAGCAGGAGTGGGATGCTAGAGCCATAAAGATGGAGAGGCTGAACGAGAGACAAAGAAAATGATAATTAATTTACCAGTAGCTCATCCCTCGAGGGATATATGTTCTAAATGTTACCTCTTTACCCTGTGTAAGTACTGAGAATGCTGGCCCCTTAGAGGATCCAGAATCCAGGTGTCCTTCTGACTGTAATGAACTCTTCAGCATCCTGGACTGTGTGGACATCCTCCTGTTGCAGT